TGTGTGTGTGGTGAGTGAGGGAGTGTTTGTGTGTGTGGTGAGTGGGTGTAGTGTGTGTGTGGTGAGTGGGTGTAGTGTGTGTGTGGTGAGTGGGTGTAGTGTGTGTGGTGAGTGGGTGTAGTGTGTGTGGTGAGTGGGTGTAGTGTGTGTGTGGTGAGTGGGTGTTGTGTGTGGTGAGTGGGTGTAGTGTGTGTGTGGTGAGTAGGTGTAGTGTGTGTGTGGTGAGTGGGTGTTGTGTGTGGTGAGTGGGTGTAGTGTGTGTGGTGAGTGGGTGTAGTGTGTGTGTGGTGAGTGGGTGTAGTGTGTGTGTGGTGAGTGGGTGTTGTGTGTGTAGTGAGTGGGTGTTGTGTGTGTGGTGAGTGGGTGTTGTGTGTGTGTGGTGAGTGGGTGTAGTGTGTGTGTGGTGAGTGGGTGTTGTGTGTGTGTGGTGAGTGGGTGTAGTGTGTGTGTGGTGAGTGGGTGTTGTGTGTGTGTGGTGAGTGGGTGTTGTGTGTGGTGAGTGGGTGTAGTGTGTGTGTGGTGAGTGGGTGTAGTGTGTGTGTGGTGAGTGGGTGTAGTGTGTGTGTGGTGAGTGGGTGTAGTGTGTGTGGTGAGTGGGTGTAGTGTGTGTGTGGTGAGTGGGTGTAGTGTGTGTGTGGTGAGTGGGTGTAGTGTGTGTGGTGAGTGGGTGTAGTGTGTGTGTGGTGAGTGGGTGTAGTGTGTGTGTGGTGAGTGGGTGTAGTGTGTGTGGTGAGTGGGTGTAGTGTGTGTGGTGAGTGGGTGTAGTGTGTGTGGTGAGTGGGTGTAGTGTGTGTGTGGTGAGTGGGTGTAGTGTGTGTGTGGTGAGTGGGTGTAGTGTGTGTGTGGTGAGTGGGTGTAGTGTGTGTGGTGAGTGGGTGTAGTGTGTGTGGTGAGTGGGTGTAGTGTGTGTGGTGAGTGGGTGTAGTGTGTGTGTGGTGAGTGTGTGTAGTGTGTGTGTGGTGAGTGGGTGTAGTGGGTGTGTGGTGAGTGGGTGTAGTGTGTGTGTGGTGAGTGGGTGTAGTGTGTGTGGTGAGTGGGTGTAGTGTGTGTGTGGTGAGTGGGTGTAGTGTGTGTGTGGTGAGTGGGTGTAGTGTGTGTGTGGTGAGTGGGTGCAGTGTGTGTGTGGTGAGTGGGTGCAGTGTGTGTGTGGTGAGTGGGTGTAGTGTGTGTGTGGTGAGTGGGTGAAGTGTGTGTGTTGTGAGTTGGTGTAGTGTGTATGTGGTGAGTGGGTGAAGTGTGTGTGTTGTGAGTGGGTGTAGTGTGTGTGGTGAGTGAGTGTAGTGTGTTGTGAGTGGGTGTAGTGTGTGTGGTGAGTGGGTGTAGTGCGTGTGGTGAGTGGGTGTAGTGTGTGTGGTGAGTGGGTGTAGTGTGTTGTGAGTGGGTGTAGTGTGTGTGGTGAGTGGGTGTAGTGTGTGTGGTGAGTGGGTGTAGTGTGTGTGTGGTGAGTGGGTGTAGTGTGTGTGTGGTGAGTGGGTGTAGTGTGTGTGTGTGGTGAGTGGGTGTAGTGTGTGTGTGGTGAGTGGGTGTAGTGTGTGTGGTGAGTGGGTGTAGTATTTATAATGAGGGGGGTGTATCCTCCCCACCATTTATCCTCCCCCTCTATCCTAACCCCACCTGACACACTATCCCCCATCCCCCTAGTCTCTCCTAGCCCCATCCCCCATCCCCCAGCCCCCAGTAACGCCCTGTGACACTGGCTCGGATTATTTTACTATATGACGAAGGAAGGTCATTTGGTCTCTTGGGCCGCAAGGTTCCCCTCGCGGCCCCAGCACGGGCCGGCTCTTGGGGTCCTTCGGCCCGGGACGTCCCATGGACCTGCTGGACCTCCGCCCACGGGAGCCACTGGGCCCAGGAGGGCCCCATGGACCCCCTTGAACCAGGAGGGCCCCCATGGACTCCCTTGAACCTGGAGGGCCCCATGGACCCCCCTTGAACCTGGAGGGCCCCATGGACCCCCCTTGAACCTGGAGGGCCCCATGGACCCCCCTTGAACCTGGAGGGGCCCCATGGACTCCCTTGAACCTGGAGGGGCCCCATGGACTCCCTTGAACCTGGAGGGGCCCCATGGACTCCCTTGAACCTGGAGGGCCCCATGGACTCCCTTGAACCTGGAGGGCCCCATGGACTCCCTTGAACCTGGAGGGCCCCATGGACCCCCCTTGATCCTGGAGGGCCCCATGGACTCCCTTGAACCTGGAGGGCCCCATGGACCCCCTTGAACCTGGAGGGCCCCATGGACTCCCTTGAACCTGGAGGGCCCCATGGACCCCCTTGAACCTGGAGGGCCCCATGGACTCCCTTGAACCTGGAGGGCCCCATGGACCCCCTTGAACCTGGAGGGCCCCATGGACCCCCTTGAACCTGGAGGGTCCCATGGACCCCCTTGAACCTGGAGGGCCCCATGGACCCCCTTGAACCTGGAGGGCCCCATGGACTCCCTTGAACCTGGAGGGCCCCATGGACCCCCTTGAACCTGGAGGGCCCCATGGACCCCCTTGAACCTGGAGGGCCCCATGGACCCCCTTGAACCTGGAGGGCCCCATGGAGCCCCTTGAACCTGGAGGGCCCTATTTACTCGCCTAGAAGCACCCTACGAACTTACAATGAAAAGTCGAGAGAAAGAAAATTAAGAGAAAGACAATCTTCTGTTAAGAGAAGTTAAGGCTCAAAGTCGATTCGTTATGTTGGTTCTTTGTGGGGCCTCTTGAGGCAATCCTCTTTTACAATGTGGTGAAATAATGATAAGCAAAATTATACGATAAATTAAGCTGTATTACACACACACACACACACACACACACACACACACACACACACACACACATACATTATCCTAAGAAATGTGTGTGTTTGCTACAATGAAGATAATGATAACAATAGCATTAATAATAATAATATACAGAAAAATCACATTATCGTGATATATCACTGAACAAATCCACAGGAGCCGTGACGAGGACTCGAACCTATGCGCTGCTGATAATCCCAGAGGTACGCTCTTAACGACTACACAGCACGACATGGTCAAAATAATTACAACCTGGGGTACTACTGCACCCTCGAGGGTCCCGAGGCTTCCACTGCATCTGGGGAACACCCACCGCATAGGTTCGAATCCTCACCACGGCTCCTGTGGATTTTCTCAATAATAATAATGATAATTATAATAATTTTATTATAAAGTGAGAACAAACAAGGCATAAAAATGTAAACTTGGATTAACCCCTCACTGGTAGACAGCAGCGCCACGGGAGCCAAGCGGTATACACACACCCAGAACGGTATTCTGCTTCTTGGTGAATGTACACTTAAAAGTTTACTTAAGGCCAAAACAAGTCAGGACTTAAGTACACTCGCTGTTTGGTCTGTAAGGTATTGTTGTGGTCTTCATAATCCTCCAGAGGATCATAAGCCTCAAGTCCAAAACGAAACCAAAAAAATAAAGTAAAGCCATATATATAAAATTTATATATAAATAAATATATATATATATATATATATATATATATATATATATATATATATATATATATATATATATATATATAGGGATACCACCTCTGGTGCAATTGTAGGGACCCTTAGCCTCGAAGAAGGGAACACAGAGCATTCAGAGAAAAACTTGCCATTTAACTCTGAATACGTATGAGTGTTTATATATATATATATATATATATATATATATATATATATATATATATATATATATAATGTATAAAACACTGTTTTGTTAAGGATTCATAGCACAGACACCCCATTTCTTTCATTACATTTACAAATTCGTCCTATCCGAAGAGAGAGGAAGCTTCGGAAGGGTGCAAATGGACTATATATATATATAAATATTTATTTATTTTGTATGTATATATGTATATATTTACATCAAAGGTTTCTGAGTCTTGCATACACGGTCAGCAAGCTAGTATCACAGTTGATGGTGTCTCTCCTGGGTGCAGAGTCTCTCTCGCTCTACACTACTGCTTCGTCTCTCTCTCTCTCTTAAGAAATGAATTATAATTTAGAAAAGGTAACATGAGCCTCTCCTCCTAAAATGATGATCCTTACACCAACTATTTGGTCGAAGGTACCAATTTCTACAGATGATGGATCCCACTCACAAAAATTACGTTTTGAGGTATTATTTGTATATAATTCTGGAAAACATGCTGAAAAACAAACTTGAAGCATTCCTAGGCGTCGGCCCTATAATGTAGCCATTCTTATATCCTAGGCGCATATATATGTACTATATTAGGCATTAGGTAGGGTATATTAGGGAAAGGATTGCTTAGACAAGTTAGGCTTAACTTGGTAGGTTTTTGGTTTTTAATTTTTGTAGAATGAATGTTGGACTAATTGGAGGGGGGGGAGGGAACTATCAGGGGAAAGCGCCAAGACTATATAGCACTGGGAAGGGGTCAGGATAAGGATTTTGGGATGGGACGCGGGGAAGGAATGGTGCCCCAACCACTTGGACGGTCGGGAATTGAACACCGATCTGCCTGCATGAAGCGAGACCGTCGCTCTACCGTCCAGCCCAAGTGTGTGTGTGGGGGGGGGGGGGGTGTAATAGTACAATACTTTAGGGAGGTCTAACGCAGCATTTTGGTACTTTTGACGAAATAGTCGTTTTAAGCACTATCCTTTCAGGAGGATAGGCTGTAATAATCATATTTCCGATGTAAACTTACTTAATTTACGTGCGAATGATATTTATTAAAAAAATAATAATAATGAAGAAATGTGATTAAAAGCAAATATTGACAGACGAAATCAAAATGTTAATAATTCACATAAATATAATAAAACAAACAAAGTGTAGAAAAATAAATTTAAACTTAAACGTTTTAATTCAAAAATTCATTCCTAGTTGATTTTTTAATTACAAATAAAGTCTACTGGAAATAAAGCAGTATATATATATATATATATATATATATATATATATATATATATATATATATATATATATATATATATATATATATATATATATATATATATATATATAATGTTTTTTCATACGCAAACACAATCTTGTAATGTTTTAAATGGCTTCAGAGTTGCCTTATAATTTAGAACTGAAAGGCAAGTTTCAAAATATATTCGACGGACCCTCCATAAGTTCGTGAATAATAGCTAACATTTGCTTTAGACTATGGAACCATATATCTTGGGGCTCGGACTCTCTCCGCTAGAGTTAGTTCAACCTGTGTACCTTAAATTTGAATCGATTCTCGAATACATATTAAACCCACTTCGAATGAGTTTGAATTTAAAAACGGATTGTAAATATTACTTTAATAGTAAGCCCCCCAAAATCTGAATTTTGTTATTCAAATTTATCTTTGTAGTTTTGATGAGAAAGTAATTAAAAATATATTTTGTTAAATTTTGGCACTCTGTAAGGGGGTAGAGGCAAACCAAGAATTTATTGTGTACATCTAAATTTATCATGAATATGGCTAATATCTATTTTAAAATCATCTTCGTTTACGTTAGGCATGAGAGCGAGATAGGAAGGAACTCTCCGGAAAGTGGGAACAAGGTAGGAAAGGCTAATATTATCATTAATTCATTTTTGGACCAAGAAAGCATTCGTTCAGATCCGCGGACCGACGCAAGCGCTAGGAGTCTAGGATAAACAACGCTGGCTCGTTCAGATCCGCGGACCAACACAAGCACAACGAGTCTAGGATAAACAACACTGGCTCGTTCGGATCCGCGGACTGACGCAAGTGCTAGGAGTCTAGGATAAACAACACTGGCTCGTTGAGATCCGCGGACCGACACAAGCGCAACGAGTCTAGGATAAACAACGTTGGCTGGTTCAGATCCGCGCACCAACACAGGCGCTGGGAGTAAATAAGTTTGGGACGGCTTTATTTCCGTGTTCCACACCTAATGCCACCTTACTTGAACCAAGTTTTGTGAGATATTTACCTGAAAAATACTATATTCTTCCTGTTAAATATAGGAAGAAATATATAACAAAGTGAATAAGATACCTTAAAATAAGTATAGGCTTAGTATGGGTAATATCTCAGAATGCGTCAAGGCTAGATTTATCAACAATAATTTTCTTTTTTTTTTAGCATTTTGTCCCATATCACTCACTGGAGAATGACATTCTTCTGTCCAGGAACGTTCAGCATGACACTGTTATACAGTCTTTAGAGTTTGTGAGTTATTTTTGTCAGTACTGAGCGCGTGAACGCTTGCAATAACTTGACATGGCATCGGTAATGCTCTCATGATACCTTGAAAGGTCCCTGTTCAAGCAACAGAATATTGCTCGCAACAGAATACTGTTCTCAACAGAATACTGTTCTCAACAGAATACTGTTCTCAACAGAATACTGTTCCTACGTGTTCTGTTCGTTATTGTTCATTACTCTTGGAACCTCGGTTGGTTCCTCTGTCGAGTTCTAATGCACATGTTTTTCTTTCCTCTAATTAGGCCTTATTGATAATCCTTCGGCACTGTTACCATTTTCTGTTCCTGTGTTCTCCTCTGAATATTTTCTCCTTTATGAGTCTTCTCTCTACACGTATCACTAAACAGAGTTTCTTTTCTGCGCATGCGTGGGCGTGTGCAGCACCCCGCTCTCTGAGGACGAGGAGCACAGTTCCTCCTGAGTGTCCGTGTGGGTCACTTGTATCTCCTCTCTCTCTCGCTCTTGTTCCTCCCTCTGCTGCATCTGCTGCTGATGCTGCTGCTCCCGGTGCTGCTGCTGCTGATCCCGGCGCTGCTGGCGGCGCTGCCGTCGCGGGAGAATGTAAGACAGATTCATAGACCGCTTGCGGAAGCTGTGAAGGCAGAAAACGGGAGTTAAATAATAATATGCTACCGGTAACTATCATAAACTCTTCCCTGAATTTTTTTTTCACTTTTATTATTCTGGTTTTGGGGGTTTAATTTGGGTCAAAAGATGAACATGGGATTTTGTGAATATACAAGAAGATAAAGTGATATGAACAGTCATTTTATGATATATAATTTTATATTTATTTTACATTTATTTTAGAGATTACTGTTTAGAGTAATGTTTGCGACGAGTTATTATACACGGAGGTTATAATTCATAATGACATACACACATATTTAAATATATATATACACTGGCACATGTATACACACATATACATACAATTTATAATGTCTTTAAACATATGAAGACTAAACATATTAAACACACACACACATACACACACACACACACACACACACACACACACACACACACACACACACACACACACACACACACACACACACACACACACGAAGAAAGAAATAAAAGAAAACACTGAGAATGCAGAGGCATCACAGTGCTAGTGAAAGAACACTTGAAGATAAGAGCATTAATACTCAGTACCTCACAAGATGCAGAAGAGGCAGCAGCAGCAGCACTGACCACCACAAACCAGAAACCACAGAAATATATAGTTTTTCTGCTGCTGCTGCTGCTGCTGCTGCTGTTGCTGCTGCTGCTGCTGCTGCTGGCATTCTAAATACCTGCAGCAAGTTAACACACCAATAAGATTGGGGGAAACTACACGACAATCGAGAGGGACTTAAAAAATTCCTAAAAATATATATAAGGAAAATCAGATAAAGGTGAAGTTAAATGAACCAATCCACAAGGGCCGTGACGAGGATTCGAACCTGCGTCTGAGAGCATCCCATACGCTGCCTTAATTCATTTGATTTGTTCATTTGATGCATCACGCAATTGTGATTTCTGTGGGTAAAGGTGAAGTTACATTGTTAGTTCTGAGTGACCTTTATCAGAACTCCATAGATCACGAGACTTCATCTTAGTGAGGAACGCGGATCTTTCATGGCTCTCGAAAAACTGGGAAAACAAAGAGGAAGAAATCTCTGGCGTGATGCACCTGCCTTCATTAGGTAATAGCAATTACGTCGTATTGGAAATTAATTATGCCATTCATTAAGGCAGAGTTGGCTAAAAAAAAATATATTAGAGAAATTCGATTTCGAAAAATGTAATTAAGGGCAATTGAGAGAGCAAATTAATAGACCTTATTATGAAGACTTATTATTAGATAATGATGTTATCGAGATATATGGAACCAAGAGATCCTATAGAACGGAGACGGTTGGGCACACTTTAATCAATCTGGATCTATTAAAAAAAACTCTTCGATAAAGTTCTGACACATAAGACCGTTCTGGAAGTTGGCAAGACACAGGAGAGGCGACCATCAGACCTCAGACACAGACAAACGAGATTACTCAAGTGATAAATCAAGTGATTAAGTCTCCGTGGTGTAGTGGTATAACACTCGCCTGGCGTTCCGCGAGCGCTTTGTCATGGGTTCATATCCTGGCCGGGGAGGATTTACTGGGCGCAAATCCTTAACTGTAGCCTCTGTTTAACTCAACAGTAAAATGTGTACTTGGTTGTAACAACGATTCTTCGCGGCGGGGATCGTATTCCAGGGACCTGCCCGAAACGCTACGCGTACTAGTGGCTGTACAAGAATGTAACAACTCTTGTATATATCTCAATAAATAAATAAATAAATAAATAAATAAATAAATAAATAAATAAATAAGCGAGTAGGCCTGACACGGATGGTAGGATAGTAAGCCTATGGATGGACGCTCGGTAATGGACTCCAACATGATCCTATATTACAACTATATTATGATCCTATATTATTTACTCATTGTAAATATGAATATGTTTTTCTCCTGAAGGAATACCAAGCTATATGAATATATTTCTGGATCATGTTCCGGGAAGACCCAGATGACGGCTATAGGTCCTTGAAAACAAGGTTATCTTGAGATATCTTGAGGTTATCTTGAGATGATTTCGGGGCTTTTTAGTGTCCCCGCGGCCCGGTCCTCGACCAGGCCTCCACCCCCAGGAAGCAGCCCGTGACAGCTGACTAACACCCAGGTACCTATTTTACTGCTAGGTAACAGGGGCATAGGGTGAAAGAAACTCTGCCCATTGTTTCTCGCCGGCGCCTGGGATCGAACCCAGGACCACAGGATCACAAGTCCAGCGTGCTGTCCGCTCGGCCGACCGGCTCCCACACAACATAAGGTGCACAACATAAGCACATAGAGCAACACACGGTTAATGGAACCCAGCGTGGATAATGGTCACATAATGGGGGCGACGACGAGCACGGGAACTCTTATTTAGTGAGTGACTGAACTCTTATTTAAGAGTTCAGTCACAAGAACGCGGAGCAACACAACCCATACATCTCAATATGGACGGAGTGACGACGTCTCACTCCGCCCTCTTCCATTAAACATTACGGCTGG